TTATTTTCTTGAGGAGTTCGTCAATAGGCATGATTGCGGATTGAGCACCATAGTCAGTCCGAGAGCTAGAACATTTTTCAGTCAAATTAGCTCTTGCACTAAGAATTGCTTTTAAGTATTTTGCTAGTTTGCTTTTCTTCAAGTTGTCTAGGTACTCTTGGGAGAGAGAAGGTTTTTTTTTCCAGTCCAAAGAGCCTTAGATTCCTTGATAGTCTCAGTGGCTTTGGTAATCACGGGTGCCTCGTTTCGTCCTGCATCATCTTCATCATCTTCTTCCTCTTCTTCTTCATCCTCAGGGTTGTGCACATAGAAGAACAAGGGTTGAGGTTCTTCTTGATAGTCTTCCCCCTCTGGGGCATTATCACATTGATTGATTTTTGAAAAAGAGTCATCAACTTTTTCTTGAATTATTTCTTTTATGTTTTGGGCACCTAATGCCTTTTCAACATCCACGATGTGTTGTTATTCGTTTTCTTCTTCGTGATAAGACTCAGTGATCTGAGACTGTTGAGTGGTGTCCTTTGGGGGTGATTGTGCTTGTAGTTCTTCGCTGGGTTTATTTACCTCACCCATGGATCCTTTAGTCGAACCCTTATTAGATGCAGGTTGTTGTGAGAGAGTGTTGGTGCTCTCAGGGATAATTTGATTGACATTTGATTGTTCGTCGCCATCTGCACCACCCTGCAAAAGAAGTCAAGTCATTTTAAGTTGAAAATAAAATTTGGCTAAAGAAAGTAAGGTGAGATTCTTTTACCTTATCACCTTCCGCACCAGGGCTAGAATTGTTACTTTCTAGCCGTTCAAAAGTATTCTCGGGGGCAGGTTTGGGACTAGCCTTAGTCACTTTTGGAGTGATAGTTTTTTGGTTGTGATTTTGATAGTTTTCACTTTTGGTTGAGAAGTAGTATCAGAAACTTTTGCCTTATTCTTCTTCTTGACAATTTTAGAAGTGTCTGACGAAAGATCTTCATCATCTAATTCGACCATGATAACTTGAGGTTCTTTTAGCCTTTCTTTTCTTGGGGGATGAGGGAGGTTTTCAATTTACCTGAAGACAATGAAGATATTAGCATATGAAGGTAAAACATTATGACAAAATAAGAAAAATAATAAAATGTACCTTAGTTGCTGGTTTAGTTGTTTCTTCTTCTTGACCTTCTGCCTTGGTTGAACTAACAGTCTTATTTGTTGGTTGTTTTCTTTCTATGGATAAAATAAGATGTCAAGAAATGCCACACAAAAAAATGTCAAGAAACTGTTAGAGGTAAAATTAATTAAATTATAAGAGTCCTCTTATTCCACACCTTCATATATGGTAGAGAGTATTTGAACATCCTCTATGCCAATATGAAAATGTCCTTTGAAACTATCCAGAGTATGCTTAGTCAAAACCACCCATTTCACCAGTTTTTGAGAGTCTTGTCAAAGGATTTTCACAAAATCCCCACAGACAAACCAGTCGGGAAATGGAGGGCTAAAAGCCACACTGAAGTCAGCCGATGGTAGTCGAGGGAATTTTGGTGGATGTAAGTTAAAAGCTAACTCATACCTATGTTCAGGTTTAACAAATGAAGGTAGTTTTAAATCTGGAAGTTTCTTCGTAAATTTATCTCTCAAAGTAACTGCATCTTTACAGATGGTTTGACTAAGGTCATCTGGTCGATAAGCAGTTTCAAAGTACTTTTGAAAATTTTGAATTTCCTTGATATGAGTCGAAGTAACTTTCTTGGTTCTTTCCTATATAAGAGCAAAAGTAGATGTTAAATATTGATTGAAGACATTAACATCAAACATCTCTATGGAATAATATTGTTTGCACCAAGTGCCATATTCTTAGGAACAAAAATAAGATGGTGTGAAAGGAATAGGAGTAAGTTGGGAAGTGCTATTATATTGAGTCATTTTGTCATTGCTTTAAGCTTTAGTAAAATACATGTTGTAAAGAATGACATAGTTTTTCTTGGGAAAGAGAGGTCTGGGTAAGATTTAGCTAATACTGAACTATCGGAAGACAAGATTTGGTTGATAGCCAAGGAGGATCACTTGATTCTTGGACGGTCAAAGTCTTGTTGGAATTAGCCTAGGTGTGATAAAGGCTTTCCATATGGCGAAAGATTCTGCTTCTTGATCTTCTGACACAGGAGGAAACTTCTTAGTAAACCATTATGGGCCACGAGTTCTTTTGGCGAAGGGAGCCATATAAAGGGTGAAATTATAGTGTTTGACGTACATCATTAAATACTCGATGAAAGTTTGTTGTAGGTTCATACATTCGTCACTAGGAGTCACGTGGACAAGGTGTGTCCTTTCAACTCGTCTGTTCTTGATCTAATCAACTTTTTCATTAACTGTGTTCCGAGTCGATAGTGAGGGTTCAAAGGTGGCATTAAGCCACATTTGAAGTAGCTAAAATGAACCAGCTAGATTTAAGTTTGACCCAAGTTTAATTTGTTTAAGGAGTTCCACGCTTTCCCCTAAAGAATCATACAAGCAACCTAGAATCATATGACTAAGGCAAAGTTTTTGTCCAGTATGTAGTTGGTTGGCCACGGCCATAAACTTTTTTGCAATTTGAAGAGACCTTGAACAAAAAATGCAGTGAGATAACCAAAAAGCAAGGAAACCGATGTGTTCTTCGTCACATACTTCTTCAGTATCTTTCTTGTGATTATTAGAGATGTAGTGGGTGAAAGTGGCTCCATTGCCGTCGAAACCAATAGTGTCTTCTGCCATTAGGTTTAGATCAAAAGATTCTCCAATTGGTCAAATACCGGTAATTACAGTTATATCGAGAAAAGTCGTGATTAGCATTCCATAAGGGAAATGGAAGTTGTGTGTACTGTCCCATAAATACAAAGAGGTTAGTAACATGGTCTGATAGTAACCAGGTCCAAATTTCGATAGCTAAATCAGGTCGAAAATTTCCATGTCATTGCAAAACTTAGTTTTCTTCTTTTCTATCTTTGCAGCCAAGACATATATTTTTCAGGGTCTTTCGATAATGGACAAGAGCGAAATGCTTTAAGAGCATTGCTAATGTAATCTAGGTTAATGGGTTTTTCTACAGGGTCAATCGAAGACGTTATTTGGGTATCATCTACCTTAGTTGTTTCAACATTCACAGCTACAATATTATCCTTAGATTTTTTCTTACTGGCTAGAGGATTAGTTATATGATAGGTTGGAAAATATGCTATAAGTTTTGCAGCATTTGTATTGACATCTGGTAATGGACTAACAAGAACATGTATATTTCCAGAAAACTGAAATAAGAATAAGTACCTTGGATTCATAAATGCGCCTCTTTTCTTCTTCAATAGGAGGTTCTGGGAAATATTATTGATTTCCTACGATTTAAGGACCTAGAATTTTGTGAACGGGAGGAAGAGTCAATTGCTTCTTAGAATCCTTAGGGTTCTTGATCTTGGATGCCATTGATGATTGAAGTTGAAGGAGGTTTGAGTCTGTTTAGAGAAGGTGAATAATTGTTTTTACGCTTTGGAGAGAGAAGAAAGCTCAGAAGAGTAAGAAAGTGAAAAAGAAATAAAATAAAGTATTTATAGTAGGGAACGAGAAACGTTTCATTTCAAACCATTATGAGCTATTGTTGGGATCGTGGGGCACGTGTTAATTGTTTGTGGAGTGATAGGACAGTTGTAGTTGGTATCCCATTATCTCTTAGAAAATAGGAGTGTGATGTTTACCTTTTGAATTTCTGTACGTCTTGATGAGACTACTGAAGCGATGTGGTCATGATGACCATGACGTCACAACAATAAAGGTGCAGTAATGTCGAAAAAAGCTTCAAAAAATGTCATTTTCTTTATAATCGAAAATGACATTTTTTGGGGATAATTTGTTGGCTGGGATTTCGACACATACTAATTTTGGAAATAAGTCATGAAATTCAAAGATATATTCTAAAAAATAATATGATGATTTCGACAGCAAATAAGGATAAAAACATTTTGATGTGTCTGAAGGTTTGAAATGAGTTATTAGGGTTGTAGGATTATTCTGAGAAGGAATATTGTTTATGACAGGAAATTATTTGAAGACCTAGTCGAAGAGATTTATGCATGAGGAACGTTATGGTCTAGGACTTAAAAATATTTTTGGCTTGGTTCAGAGTTTGATGAAGCTACTTGAAGAAGCGTCCGACAAATGCCATTCATATTTAAGGTTGATAACATTCTGTTGGCTTTATCCGTTTTCAAGACACGTAGAGAGTTTTGAAGCGATGAAATGCGTGCAGATTGGAAACGTGGCACTTTTTCGCGAGAAGACCGTTAGATATCGGTTATTTTCGATTTAGTATTAAGAAGAGTCTTAACAGTTAGGATTGAAGATGTTCAACTTGTACAAAAAATCTTAATTTCCTCTAAGTAGCCGCGTGTGAGAAAAGAGTATTCTTGAGTGATAATGACGTATGAAGATCACACTTTGTATTTTTACCAGATTATTTAAGATTCTTTCTACCATTTACCTTTATTACAATTTACTTTAAATCTAATTTTGATATTTAATATTCAGTCATTTAACTTGAAACCCTTTTATTTTAAAACTTACTTTTTGCATTTCATTAAAGAATTCACAATACTTCATTAACAACTTTAAAAACATTAATAAACTTAGAAACTAAATAATAACACATATCATATGCTTAATCTAATCGATTCTATAAGTGACCAATAAATTAATAATTTTAAAAGACTAACTATTATTTATCAATTTCGACGGCATAAGTCTAACAAATCACTTAATATCATCTAATTTACTTTTATGTTTATATTTGGGAGGTTTTACATTATGATTAACTATATCCAACTTTTTGTTCATGGGTAGAGAAGAATTTCCTATTCAATAATAATAGGAGACAATTGTATTCAATTTTTAATTAAGAATAATTTATGTGCAATATTATTAGGTCTTGCGATCATTTTGAAGCCTCATCACCGTAAAACCTCAAAATCTCCTTCTGTCCGAATCCAACTTGTCCGATGGCATTTGTCTCTGGATTTCAGCGGTTACTTCGCCATTCCCACTCCAACTTCACTTCGATTCGTTTCAATTCAACTCTCACTTCCCCCAAACTTTTCGTCAGCGGTGAGTAACCAACTACCAACCATTCCATATATTTTATCGTCTTTTCTTTGCATCATAACTTCAATCTAATGAAACTTCATCTTTTAATTGAAAATAAGTTGTGGAAGACATGTTGATTCGGCTGCAAAATAAATACTGTGAAACTGAAAATTGTTAAATTGGAGAGAGAAAAATTGTACAGAAAGCTCTTTAGGTCAAATAACTTAATGTCTAGTTTGGTATACCTTGGTATAGTTATGCTAATTTAATCAATTTCTGCAGCTAATAAGTTGTTATAGGTTACCCTTATATCGGGCTATAGCTTTGCTATGCATAGTTGGTCCTATGACAGGATAAAAAGAGAGGGTTGTGTTAGGCATTCTGAGGCTAACGTAAAATTTTGTTGAATTTCTATGATATGGATCAAATATTTAATAGTGGGATGACATTCTGGCGTAGTTTGATCCATGTATCTTCCTTCACTTAGTGGGATAAAACTTCGTTGTTGTTGTTACTCTTATATCTGGCTAGTTTTCACTAATGTGAACTTAGAACGAGCCTGTTTTTTTGGTTGATTTGGCATGCTTCAATAATGTCATATGGTAGTGTACTTATTTTCTTGTATTTGTAATTTTGAATAGGTCTTTCGAGATTGACAACGGATGAAAAGCTTACCGAAGCATTTTCTCCTTTTGGGCAGCTCATGGAAGGTAATTATGAGCAATGAGCATTTTTATTTTATTATGTTTAGCAGTACTCGATTATAAAATCCTTATTTTGCTTCATGTGTTTTGTGTTTGACCATCAATCGTTTTGATTACACAGCTAAGGTGATAATTGACAGAGCCTCTGGAAGATCCAAGGGGTTCGCTTTCGTATCGTATGCAACTGTAGAAGAAGCTGAGAAGGCAAGAGAAGGAATGAATGCTAAATTTTTGGATGGATGGGTTATATTTGTTGATCCTGCCAAACCAAGAGAACCTCGACCTCCTCCGCAATCAGAATCTCAGTCGTCTCAAACAGGGTTCACAGTTAATAAGACCGTTGGATGGTGTGGTTGATGATTGAAGAAACTTGATTGATTACTCTTATGGTGTTGGAGGTAAAATATTTTAAGGACCATATGATTCAACATAACCAACTATACTCTATATCGGATATTTTTGGTACTAATCAGTGATAATTTATTATTCGAGTTAAGCATTACTAATGTTGTTGAAAATTTTGATGTTAAATTGGAAACTAGTTCTTCCTTTATTGAAGTGATATGAACTTCCTCCATACTTTTCCCGATTATTTGTATTATTGACAGATATCTTGCTAAGGTAATTTCTTATGTATTTCAAGTATTTGTTGTTGCAACATTCCTCATCTTTGACAAATGAAGTTTTTCATCTCTATTGAGAAGCTCCGATCTTTGCAACATAATTGATACAACATTATTATTTCTTTCTCTAAGATACGTCCACTTTTCATTTGAGAGCAACCATATCCCGAATGGATTGAATGATAGGAGCATAGAAATGTATTTGATTGAGATGCAGAGGCCTAACAATCAAGTCCAAGGCATGTTATAATCACTAAAGCACAACACACCTGTTGATCCAATGCTACAAACTAACCTGAGAAGTCAAATGGTGCAGAGATAATGCAGGCTGACAAGCTAGCTTTTTCCTGGAGCTTGCAATTTCTAGATCAATTGGCAGCATCATGAATTTGACAGTATTGAGAACTCTAATACTGTTTTTATGAAATTTGGAACATCTGTACAAAGATTGTCCAATCTAGTCACTTCGATAAACTACACTACTACTTTTCTTACCTCTGAAATCTCTTAGAAAATTTTTCATTTTGACAAAAAATGTTTTTCAAATGTAAGAATTTGGAACATGTTTTTGAATCTCTCGGATTTTAGAATTTCAAAGTATTCAACTCGTGAAAAAACACAATGAATATAACCATTCCATTAAATCAGATGGAATTTAAAATGGTACATACATGTCAAACACCAACAATAAGCCGTGTGTAATTAAAAACATTGATTAAATACAGATAGGACCATATATAAGACAAATTATTATTATTATTTTTTTTTACCATAAGTTGCTTAAAATTAAAAACACCAACTAAATATAAACAAGACCATAAATCAAATAAATTAGACAAATTAATTTTTTTTATCATATTCAACCAAACATACCGTAATTTCATCAAATGTCTTAGAACAAATCACGTTTGAACATATAGAATGAACTGATTTGACTAAGATAACATCTAACTCGACTAAGACTGTCCAAATATCAAGAACATGATTCTCACATCAACATCATTTTGAAGTTGCATGTCTACGAACAAACAACGATACTCAACACTAATCACATTTTTTATGTCGCAATGGTTGATATGACAATTCATTTGGCTCTGTTGATCCTTCGAATCAAACAATATAATATCGACATTGATCCTAAACAAATGAATATGAGTTCCATTGTTTTAGTAAACTACAATTAGGTTAGAATTCATTCTGACCGGATATAAGTAAGAAGAGTTTATTATTTTTCTTATGTGAACTGTAGATGAACCAAATACATCATTCCATACTAGTTCATGTACATTCGAGTCCGTATAAAGTATGAGTGTAATCTATATCACACAATAGAAAATAATGAATTGACAATTTCAAAATATAAAAACCTGAACCATGTAAATACTCCCTTAATATGGATTCAAATTATAGAATCTAAACACCTTCTAGAAATTCTCAGCAATGTTGGTGTCATTTTTTTCCGATGGTGTTGAGCCACATATGAGACGTTTTGTCGTAAAACCAACAAATGGTAGGCAATCTTGGAATTGGTGCCAGCTTTTTTAATGTGCCAGGCAAAAAATTTAGACGTGACATGTTAGTATTTGATAAGTTGGTCTTGCACGACCTTGGGCAAGTCAGCCCCTACCGTAATTAGTAATTACGTCTTTCGGACCACTCCTTACTACGATCTCGATGAACTCTCTATTTGGTTCTGGCTGTTTGATTTGTTCTTGCATCTAAAGGGTGTGTTTCTTCTTTGTCCTCTTTATCTTCGAGGGTTGCATTTCTAGGCAAGCATCTAGTTTAAGTAGTTTTATGATAACTCACGTTTTGTGAGTTATTATAATCCTTAATTTTTTAGTTTATCTTTTTAATTCAATTGTTTACTAGTTTAATATTTTTAAGTAGATTATTAATAGCTCAATATGTGCTTTTGTTTGTTAGTTTTTATATGTTTGCTACTTGTGTAGAGATAACTTTTGATGAGTCCTGACACGATACTTATGTATAGCGCTTTAACCTCCTACTTTAAAAAAATAGCAGCGCTTAATAAAGGATGCAATGGAAGATACACAGAGTGGACGTTCATAGTTTTAGGGCTTACGTAGCACCTATATGCATAATGGAGTGTGTTAAGTTCAAATAGCAAATGGATATGAGCAATGCGCTATAGGATAAAACTTTGCACCATAGTACACTCACTACATCGTATTGCTACTGTAAAGAACAAATGCAAAACAATGTCGCCTGAATGTCTGCGCCACTACCCTGTCACAAGATACTTTGTCTCCCACATGCTGATTATATCTGCCTCTGCATTGGTATGAAATGGAAGAATTGAAGAGAATTATGTTGATTCCTTTGAGCCATAATTCACAAATATCCTCAAGCCCGTGATACAAGACAACACCAAAAACCTTAGATGGACGTGACTATAAAAAGACCTTTTGGAGGAAATGCAAAGAGGTTCAGAAACTCAGAGAAAAAACACTTAGTGAAAATCAGTGAGTAGAGCGAGCTGAACAAATTGGAGAGATTTTTATTCTCATCATCTTAAGTGTATGCTACCAGTATCTAGCGTGACAAAGATCGTCTCTTGGTGGCTAACAGTTGCAAGAAGACAAAGAAGTTACTCTTAGGTCTCCATTTCTTTTTCATTATGTGTTTAAGAATGTTTAGTTTAGGATACAATATTGATGTATATACTATGCTCATCAAGAGCTAAACCCTTTTATGCTGAGCAATGTGAAGTTAATATAAATAGTTGTTTGTGTTATGTGATGTGTTGTTAGTGTTTTGTTGTATCATGTGTTAAACTATCATAAATCTTAGGAAAAGATACAAGCTTGTTGTTGTGAGAGATCCAACAATAAGAAGATTTTATGATAAAAGTGATTGAAAATACTAGGATAGAGATATTCATTATATTAACTACTTCAGAGATAAAGATCTACAATCATAAAGGATATATTCAGAATAAAATCAGACGTGCACTAAAGTTACAAGCGAGGCTCAAAAATTTGTCCCTTTGCTTTACTGTATATGTTTATGATGTTGTAGAGATACACCATAAGATAACTTTCTGACTTCTTCTAGCATGACATAACACATCACATACTTAGAATACACAAGTTATATTTATGGATCATTGCCCAACATGTTCTTCATTAGTGACTTCATTATACTCTTATTAACTGTTTTTGTCATTGCTTACTCCAAAAACTAAACCTGTGACAACAATCAATTATTTTTATTTGTGCTCGCGCTCATTTACAAAAGAAAGTTTTACAAATCAATTTAAGTTATTTTCCACTCCCTATGGCTTTGACATTCTTACTAATCCATCATTTGCTATTTTAAACATACATGTATACTCGCATGTGACATCATGTTTTCAAGCAACATTTTACAAGACTAAAAATCAAAACTAGGATGTTTCTAAGTCTGTATTGAATACACTTAACTTATCAGCAATAATGTAAAACTTTAAGTTTATCTGAATTGTTGATGACACGACACATGTCCCTGCTATCGTCGGTCTACCTATAATGCAATTGTTGGCAAAATTACATATGATGGCCATAAAATTTACCTTGATGATTCTTTTTTATTCGTTTGTTTCGAACATTCCTGATAATTACACATACCCTAAGGTTTTGTGTTGAAACCACAAAACCCTTAGAGATTGTCGCAACGATAAAGTTGCATAATTCACTCAAGTCTCAATGTACTGTACATTTTCCACTTACATGATATCACAATCCACCAAAACATAAGGAACGTTGAAACTAATCATATGCACTCTTATTACCAGTGTGATGTGTTGGTTAGGCACATTGTTGGTCAATTCTTCATCATACAAAAACAAGGAAGGTCTGTCTTTTCCCTAAACTCGTTATGATCCTTCGTTCGCGACAATTCTTCTTCCTCTTAAAAGAATAACATACTACTTTTGGAGGGGAAATCCTTAAAATGACAAGTGTTTAACACCAACTTTCTGCTCTGTGCTTTGCCAAAACATTTATGGGTAGATCATCCCAAGACATGCAAAGTTGTCATGTGACACTGGCTAGAGTGTGGATATTGTCCCACCGATTGAAGACTCCAATAAAAAAAATGAGGATTTTATAATGGATATCGTCCCAACGATTGAAGATCCCAAACGAGGGTTACAAATCGATGATTCCTCAATCATTACATCACCAAAATTCGCCATCAAAGTGTGACAAGAGAAAACGTTAAAAGAACAATTCTCATACAAATCGCTAAATGATCTAATATGACCTTTTGGATTCCGTTAATGAAAATGAACTATGATTTGATGACGGGTTTTGTTAAAGGTCCCATGCTTTTTATGATTTGATGACGGATTTTGTCGAAGGTCTTGATGCTTTTCAAGCTCAAGCTCAGATACGACGACATGGGTACTTTCAAATACTTTTAACACCAATACTGTAACTATCATAAGTGAGAGGTTTTAAGGTTAAAACCATATTTGTAAATGGAATCTTCGTTAAAACAATACTAAGGTTTCGAGGACTAAGTCTATAAACTTTCTCTCGGAGACACATGTCCTACGTTGATCAACATATTTTCTAAAAAATTACATAATAGAGACGATAAGAATAATGTTTGACCAACAAGAAGCATCAAACACTACAAGAAATATTTTGCATCTTTAAAGAGAAAAAAACAACAACTAGTGTATTTGAGATTGTAGTGTTCAAATGTGTATTTTGCATATTTAGAATTCAGAATCCAAAAAAACATACCAATATCAAAACATAATAGAATATTTAGATTTCTAAAGGGCTTCTGAGAGGATCTTGGAAGAGTAGGAGAATTTCACAAATGGTTTGGTTCATGAAACATGCTAAGCATGTCAAATTAACCAAAAGAAATGCAAACCCTGCCGTTCACGGTTTCATTATAAGTCAGAAATGCAAACCCTCACAAACTTGTTACATATTACAAACAAAAATGTGTTCCTGAACAAAGCACAGTTTCAAACTGCCATTGAAGGGTACAAAAATCTCACACCATACAATCCCAAATCTTTTCATCATATATACACAAGCTAACAAACATAATTTTATTTATGCACATTGAAGGAAATAGCATAAAGCATTCTAGATGGTTTACTCATTGAGCTTCTGCAACAGAGTAATGCATTTCTGTAACTGATTTTTTCAAGAAACTAGCTCCGCAGTTTGAATCTTGGCTACAAACATCAACAGAGGCAAAATCAGAAGAACCTTCAATAACTTGAGAATCCGACGACTGAACAAGGTTGCGAGGCTGTTTCTTATCTTTGCCACTGCTCCCTCTGGCTGAATTTCCCTTGTTACCTTTCTTCAAACTTTTCTTTTCATTCTTCTTCTTCCTGGACTTCGGCTGTTTCTTGTTTTTGACAGTGTGCGACACTAACGTAGGTATTGGATCATATACATCAGCAGCCCATTTCACTGTCAATTTCACATGCCCTTCCCCGTTTTTATCACGACTACCTTTCATTGCAGATTTAAGTTCCGAAGGAGCCTGTGATATCAGGTAGAAAACAGAAAATCATTAAACATGAAAAGGAACCAAAGCTTAATTGCTTGCAACCTATAGACACAAACATTATTAACAATACCGTTGTATCATAAGCAACTTACCGGCAGAGATATTGAACGGGAGTAAGCTTGATGGACAGAATGCTCAGAAGGCGATTCTGTAACTGATGCTGCCTTTTTGTCAGACTTGCTTGAAGGCAACACCACACGAGGAAGCGGAAAGGTTGCCGATTTTCTAAAAGACACCATGTTGAGTTTTGCTTCTTTCGGTTTAATAACCGCACATAAGTTTTCCTCTGCTACATTGCAAATCTCACGCTCCTTAGACACATGCTCCGGTTTCTCAGCATCTTGTATATGTAATGACGCACTAAAAGTGCCTTCAAGACTACTTATGCAGTTCTCAAGCTTGTCATTAACAGAAGAACACACTTCCATCGAATCTATCAACCTATTAGGTACTATAACAACTCTGCATTAAAAACAATGAAAAGCTTATCGAAATACAAATCTGTAACACTAGAACATCAGTACATAAAATAAAACAGAAACTCAGGCAAATTTTACATGATATGAAGCTGCAGTTCACAATATGTAAATGTGTAACTAGCATATCAATAAACCATGACATGCAAATGTGTAACTAGCACCATTCCAACATCCATGAACAATTTTCACAAACACCAATAGTAGTTAGCTAAATGATCATACAATCACTATGAGTCAGATCTGATCAAAACTAACATGATTTTCAATAAAACAAACATCAGAACATGATTGCTTAAAAAAATACCTTAACAAAGTTTGAAGCTCTAGCACTCTCCAAAAAGTAACAAAACAAGAAAATCACTAGATCCTCAGCGAATTCTTCAAACGATCAACTAGTAGCTCGATTATGACAGAAACAACAACAGCGGTAACAACAGCAGCAACAACAACAACTAGGATAATAATATAAAACCAAAAAACAGTAAAGGGACTATGAAAGAAACGAAAGTCTTGATGTTAACTAAGATTACCACGCCTATCACTTTTTTCAAGAGGTTTCAAACGATGAGATAAAGATCCATAATAAAAATTGGTGACAAAAGGAACCAAATGACGAAGAAGAAGTTCAATAGGCACCGAAGGCATTATTATATGCTCTTCGAAACCCTCCTAACAGTTTCACACCCAACAAAACGAAACAACGTTGAATCCAAAGGAGACAAACTCAGAGGTATATTAAGGGATTTGAAAACCAGAAACCTATGACATCAAAATGGTTACAGCATGAACTCAGCTTAGTCCATAGAAAAATCAAGTTGAAAAATCGAGAAGGATGGTAGATCGGAAAAAACGTTATGGACACTAGATTAGGTTGTTGGAATCGGATAGGGTGGACAAATGGGTTTTGTTAATTTTATAGGAAGGGATTAGAGAAGGTCAAGCGTCAAGTTGTTTGAAATTTTCTGTGTCTCTGAATCTCGGACGTACACGTTTCAATTAACAACTCAATGTTAGGATATTTTTAGTGATGTTGTCCAATTGCAGCCCATCGGTATTTATGTAGTCTAGGCCCAATATTTGCTCCATATGGGGATTAGGATTGACTGCAGTCAAAAATTCTGCAGTTACCCACAGTCTATTCGGTGAGAAATGGGTCTTGTTTTGGAAATAAGGGTATTACACTATTACTTCTCCCTACTTCTCCCGCAGTAGTGGTCAAGAAATATCATCTAAAAATCTAAAAATATCTTTATAAATTTAAAAATGTATTTTCAAACGCATTTTTCTAATATTAAAATATATCTTAAGTAAGATATTTTATCCGTTTTTTACTATAAATAAATTTTATTTTTTAAATACATTGAATAATTAATGTATCTAAAAAATGATAGTGGGTTATAATATGGAACAAAAGGAGTACATCTTTATTCTTCTCAAAAACAAATTTGATGTGCATCTTCGAACACACTCTTTTAATGATTTTATTCATTTAACATGACGCTCACAAATTTGAATGTAAAGTTCCAAATTTGTCATGAATAACTTATGCCGCCAAAATCAAAACTTGAAGGATAATTTCATACACGTCCAACAACACCATCAGGAGGCTCGTCTCTAAAAGAGAGTAAAATCTTATAGCCATAACCTCTCTGAAATGAAATATGAGAGGGTGTGTTGGTGTCACAAGTCGACTTTATTGTAACACCCTAAACTCTGACTCTTTAAATAAAGGTCAACAATCAATAATTCACGAATAACTTTGCCAACTCGGGTGTTACGCACACATCTTTAAAAACAACATTGCCTTTTTAAAATATTTGATAAAATATCACAGTGGAAAATCAAGCATTTAAACATCTCACCATAAGTCTCTCCAACAAGGAATAAACTTTGAAATAATTGAAGATACAATAAAGTCAACTTGCAAGATAGGCATAACAAGCTCATTCAGATGTTACATTATTAGAGCATATATTCGCATAACTAAATAAAAACAAAATTAAAGAAAATAGAGATAACCATCTCAAGCCATCCTCTGGTACGCATCACAGTAACGCTCATCTACCTACTCATCTGCAACATAGGTGTAAAGTCAACACAACAAGCAAAAAGGGGTGACAATACAACTCAAAATATGATAATTGTGCAAAATACAACATAGATAAATAGCACACAAGTATTCCTAACATCATAAAACTCAATCACACAACAATCAATCATGCAATACAATTTATGTATGTAATGCATGTGGTACCAAGTTTTTGAAAGTTAATATTTATGTTACTGATGTCATCCACTCATCAGATTACATCTCTAAACCAAACTACATGTTCAGATCAAAACACTAGATCGGACACGCCATGATCACTACACTCGCTACTACAAATAATACATTTCATGATAAAACATTCACCTCACCCAACCAAAAACCAAGTTAAAATGTCAAGGCGTGTCGTGTTTAATTTTTTTTTAATAAATACCATATATTCCTTCGATTTCTAAATAGAACCGATGGAAAAAATAATACAAAACACGCTTCAAATCCCAGCAACATTAGCTTATATTTTTATTTCTTTAAAAGTGATATCTTTCTTTTTATTTTATTTTATTTTTTAAATTTAATGATTTATTCCTTCGGTTATATTTAATAACCGAGGGATTAGATTATCATATATTACTATAAAACCACTTGTTAATCAAATTCAACCCTAAATCTAAATTATATGTAGTCACTTCAAACTTGTACACATCATTCTTTTGGATGGATTGCAAGACAGAAAAAATCTTCAATGTTCTTTCTAAGTTGTCAATCAAAGAAAACATTGAGAAATTTACTCTTGTTCTCTTTCATGTAAAAATATTTGTCATAAAAAAAATTGCTCAAGATAATGAAGTATCTCCTAGATGGAGTACAAGTGCAAAAAAAAATTTCTTGGTAGGAATAGATGACTTATCAGAAATTTGAAAAGATTTGTAGTTTTCTAAGAATCTATTGTCAAAATTTAGATTTGTTTAAACAATTTGTTTTAATATTTTGAATAAACAATGTAATTTAAAAAAAAAAAAGATTTTCCCCTCAATTTTTAGTAGAAACCGAGAGGTATATGGCGTTTGGGATGAAGCGTATTTTATTGTATTTTTTTTCTAAAAAGAAACACATTTTACCTCGAATTTTATAAATAACCGAGGTCAAATATTTTATTGAGGTAAAATATAAGTGTGTTTTTTCACCGTCCTTAAATAAATATTTGTCTTTCATTCAATGAGTATCAACACTCAAGACACTGCCATTAGTGATCCTCGTGAAACTTAAACTCTTTATTATAAAAGTATTATAAATATTAAAATTTGATAGTAGTGAATCCACAGGAAACTCATTGTTGTGAAACCCAAAGCGTTTTTGTGAAATCATTTATGTTTAATCAGAGCGCCACGAGATTTTACAAAGTAAAAGTATCAATGTGATAGATAGCAAGAGCTTAAAAAATTAGGTTTATTTAATATGTGGTTAGTGATAGTGTATTTACTTTGCCAAAGATCTGGCTCAAGTGTAGAAAAATTAAGTTTATTTAATATGTGTTAGGCGATGAATTGCAAGTGCAGAAAAAAAATCTAGCTCAAGATTTATTTTCTAACATAATCTCTGATTATGTAACTGCAAACTTATTTTATTTATGTAATTCTTTTTTAATTTTATATCATAAGTAAATGCATTCAATACTCAATATTTGATCTTCCGCAAAGTTCAAATGGGGCGAGATACCAGCATTTGCCACCCCATATTTATAATGATAAAGATGATTCAAATAGTAATGAAGATTTTTCGAGTTCACAATGTGTCGAATATTTATACTTAAAAATTAAAACGATAAAAAAATGTAAAATAAGTAACTTTGTATATTAATAAAACATGAAATGTATGTTTCTTTTATATATATATATATATATATATATATATATATATATATATATATATATATATATATAGAGAGAGAGAGAGAGAGAGAGAGAGAGAGAGAGAGAGAGATCCTATGAAAATGTCATTTTTATGTGAGAACATGAAAATGAATCTGAATCATTAGATTTTAAAATAAATGGTTGAGATTATGTGTGATTTTTGTTTTTCTTTCTCCATTATTAAAATAAATAATGGAGGAGAGGAAAAAACTGACACATAATCTCCATCATTTATTTTAAAATCTAATAGTTCAGGTTCATTTTCATGTTCTCACATACAACACCAAATCAATAATATTAATATCAATTGGTTTCAACATTAAATCAATAACATCGACATCATTATTGCAAATATAAGGTCGTCACAAGTTATAGGTTCTCTCTCTCAATAACCACCATCAATTAAACAACAACATAATAATGCCAACAATAAGGCTACATCGGTTACAATTTCAAATTTAATACACAAACATATTGATCATTAGAAGACAATCATAACAATTGATCCCTTTCTAACTCATCATTAATCATGCACACATAATTAAACTCTTAGGACGTCACCAGGGGATAATAATATGTGTTATTTTTCCAACGTTTTGTATAACACCACAGTTTTTTATTTTATTGAAATTATGTGATTTATTATGATTTTTGTGCCTTTATTTGATTATTGGAAATACTAATTAAATAAATAAGGGTGGCGGGGGTGTGTGGCCTTGAGGTGAGAGTGTGAAGAGTAACTTAGAGTCTTGTAGAGTTTGATTAAAATTAGTAGAGTTTATTTTAATAATTAAAATAATAGTATTTATTAAATTTATTGATTTTGATAGAAAATAGAGAGTTTTGGGTCAAAGTATGATTTATGAAGAGTTAGAAGAGAGGAATGATTAAGAGGAATAAGAGTTGGGCCAAAATTAGAGTTACAAGAAGATATATCCTAATGATATAAAATAGAGCATAACCTAGTTTTAGGGAGTTTTTATTACGTAAAA